GTGTGTGTGTGTGTGTGTGTGTGTGTGTGTGTGTGTGTGTGTGTGTGTGTAAGCTGAGAAAAAGACAGAAACGCATCTCGTTTAGATTAATGAGGGGCTGCGCGCTCGGCCGCTGAACATTATGATCACTGCTGTTTGAGGAGTGGCTCTGCAAAAGGTAGACGAGCAATGTAATTTCACCCAGGTGGTGCGTTCAGGTCTCCAGTGATTGTAGTCTTTATAAAGTCCCACGCATTTCATTTTGTAAATGCATGGGTGGCAAATGTAGGCAGCTGAGGAAACATCTCAGAATAGGCAACCGTAAACCAGCAATTGTGATATACATATTCAGAATGTGGTTATTTTGCTGTTCTTCCTTATTTCTTGTTTAATGTACTTGATTATAATGTGAAAAGTCCTGCAGGAAAGTTTCCGTGTGCAYGCACTACTTAGTCCTCGGTTCACCTGCAGGAGGAGCTGTGGCTCGCTGCAGTCTCTCTGTAGCTGTGGAGCAGAAGAGAGAGATCCCTTTTTTTCCTCCTTCAGTGGCATGAATAATATCCCCAGTGCCGGAGAGAAAGAGAGCGTATCAAGAGGCGAAAGATAGCCGTCGCTGTGACAGACAAGAGCGTGGCACAACTTGTCTTCCTGACGGCACCGTAGGGCCAGTGGTGGGGAAGAGAGAGCGAGTGGAGCAGAGTGTCAGGCTGCACATCAAAAGCACACTCACACACTCACACAGAAACAGGGCAGATCGCTCCAGGAGAAGTTCAGGGAGAGGACTGACCTCAGAAAGGTACAGTATGATCATTTCTGCTGCAGCCGTGCCACCATTTTTTTCAGATCTGAAACAATCAGATGTGTGATGTTTGCACATAGTTTTCCAGGTGGGGTCGGCAGAAGTTCTGTTCGTGGTTTCTCCCGACCTGAGCCCTGTTGTCCTGTAGAGGAGCTGTGTGTCTCCCCTGCAGAGGAACTTGTCTCTGTGCTCGCAGAGACGATGGGGGAGCTCTCAGTGAAAGACAAGGAGCTGATACGAGACAGCTGGGAGAGCCTGGGCAAGAATAAAGTTCCTCACGGGGTCATCATGTTCACCAGGTAATACTCCTGCATCAGATGAAGCAGTAGAAGCATTTCAAATAGTTTTTTTTTATTTTTGTATTTTTTTTGGCTTTCCGCTGATGTGATACAGTTCATTCTGTTGCAATTTCAGGATTTCATGTGTTGTTTCTTAATAGCTGTGGTGCCAGCCAGAATATGTGACTCAGGTGTGCGGAGCGAGATAAGCTTTGCTGCACTCTTTCCCATGCAGGAACCAGAGGCTTGACTTGTTGCTTGGCGACAGACTGCAATAATCCACATTTACTTTGAGACAGCTGCAGCCAAATCAGACAGGAGCAGGAGCGATCTACAGGCTGATTTTATGTCTTTAAAAAAAAAAGAAAAAACAAACTGTGCCGTTCATGTTTAAAATCGGGGGTTATTTGTTGTGTGGCAGATTGTTCGAGCTGGACCCTGAGCTCCCCAGTCTGTTCAACTACAGTAAAAACTGTGGTTCCAAACAAGACTGCCTCTCCAGTCCTGAATTCCTGGACCACGTCACCAAGGTGAACACTGTTCCCCACGGCCGATACAGAAATCATGTATGACTTTGTGCAGTTTTGACAATGGTTTTCATGTGTTTGCCACTATAACTGCAGGTGATGCTTGTGATCGATGCAGCCATCAGCCACCTGGATGATCTTCACTCCTTGGAGGAATTCCTGGTCAACCTCGGGAAGAAGCACCAGGCAGTGGGAGTCAGCACGCAGTCATTTGCTGTAGGACAAGCATTTCTCTGATAGCACTTAAGGGATCCATGATTAGTTGTAACATTAGACTTTATTTGATAAACATACAGTATATATTTAACTGTAAAATAAAGACTGTAAAAATACTGTAGGCTGTTTAGTTTTTATAATTTTTAAACTAAAAGGTTAAAAATATATTACATGGACGGGGCCATTTTATTTATACGCAAAGCATTCTGGGTAAATGATGACGTGCGTAGGTCCTCGGTGCGAGGCTGCTAGCGAGCTATATCCACCCTGAAGGTTAATCTTGGACAATATCTGATGATCGACTCTTTTAAATGAAACCAGAGAGCGTTGACAGAGAGGAGAAGGTAGAAATGACTCAACCTGTAACTGAAAATATGGATGGAGGACAACAGAGCTGCTTCATGGAAGAAGAACCTCAGCTTAGCCTGTTAGCTTTAGCGTTAATCCCGACGCTATCACCATATATGTATATTAGCTCAGTGCTACACATTCTCCTCTCGTCACTGAGGTCCTCCATCCGCATGACAGAGAGGGGAACGCAAAAAATGACTCAGCCTGTAACTGAAAATATRGATGGAGGACCTCAGTTTAGCTTGTTTGTCGCGCTAACGCTGAGCTAATACATATAAGGCAATATAGCGTCGGCGCTAAAGCTAACAGGCTAAGTTGAGGTTCTTCTACCATGAAGCAGCTCTGTTGTCCTCCATCTATATTTTCAGTTACAGGCTGAGTCATTTCTACCTTCTCCTCTCTGTCAACGCTCTCTGGTTTCATTTAAAAGAGCCAATCGTCAGATATTGTCCAAGATTAACCTTCAGGGTGGATATAGCTCGCTAGCAGCCTCGCACCGATGACCTCTCCATGTCATCATTTACCCAGAATGCTTTGTGTGTAAATAAAATGGCTCCGTCCGTGTTAAAATAAATATTTTAAAAATTTACAAAACTAAACATCCTACAGTATTTTTAGTCTTTATTTTACAGTTAAAATATATTTATCAAATAAAGTCTAATGTTACAACTAATCAGGGATCCCTTTCATAAGGAGAGGTACTCTTCTAAGCGTGTGTTTGACTCCTTCAGGTGTTGGGGGAGGCCCTTCTCTTCATGCTGCAGTGCAGCCTGGGCCAGGCCTACACGGCACCGCTGCGTCAAGCCTGGCTCAACATGTACAGCATCGTGGTGGCCACGATGAGCCGAGGGTGGGCCAAGAACGAGGAGGACAAGGAGGACWAGGCCGACTGAGGCGCGCAGCGGGAGCTCCTGAGCATTGGCTGTCAGATCATCAACAACGGTTGCCATGGAATAAGGTTGTGTAACTGTGCAGCACTGTGGCTTTGGCTGCTTTGCATTTGCTCTGGGAGTTGGGTTGTTTAGAATAACCAATGTATGGTGTAGTTACACTTTAAATTCAGACCGGGTGACTGCAGAGTTTATTTTCTTTGCCGTGGAAATTTAGCTTCCATCCAGTGCTGTTGTGAGAGTCCGAGTCAGCCGGCTAGAGAAGCATCGGGGATCACTTCTGAGTCTCTTTGTACAGAATAGCTTTGATATATATTTACTCAAACAATAACAGTGACTTTAGTGGTCTTTGTGGTGTATCTTAAAAGAGCTGCACACTTTTAAAACTATATAAATAACMTTTCAGCATCACACACTCAAACTGTGACTGTTAACTGTGGTCAGCAACAGGCAGCTCTTTATTCATCTGAAACACTCAACCTTGTGGGACAATGCAATGTGATTTCACAGAAAAAATTCAGATCTGACTGTACGCGTGTGTTTTTAGAATTAATGGTACACAAGTTATTTTTGTTCATGACTGTGTTATTTGAAGTTTACTAAATGTTAATCAAAAGCTACTGACAAGAACTGTTATACTTTCTGATAGCTTTTATTTTCAGTGATTTACGACTGTTAAGGTGTCCGTGTACACCTTACTCAACGTGAGTTGTGATCCTCTCCTCATTTGAGGTTTTGAGTGTGTCAGTAGGCGTCTAATGACTGTTAAAATCAAACCAATAGACTGTTACGTGATCTTTAGCGTTTGACTGTGAAGGGCAAATTGAAAGAGTTGTAACTCTGTTTCTTGGCTAGCAGTCTCAATTTGTTGTGAAGTAATTTTGCTGTGTTGTAGTTATGCTCCTGAATTGCATTGTCGTGCTACAAATGTAGTATTACCTCTCAGAGTGGCCTGTGTTACTCAAACATATGTGAACGTGAGGCTTTGCAATGAGCATTTTCAAATGCCTCCATGACACTGTATCATCAACCTTATTGGTGAGAAAGCCAAGTAAAAAAGTTGTGCCAAGTATTAGATAACACCATTCAACTGTTAATCCAAGCTACTGATATGTGGCTGTGTTTCCTTTTGTCCGTATTTGTATTTATAAAGTTTATTTTTATATTCTGAACTGTATGTGTTGTGAAATAGCATTACCCAAATGTCAAGCAACACATCCATCTGACATGTTCTGATCAGGTTACTTTTRATCAGAACTTGAATAATTTAAAGAAACCATTCAGATGTTTTAAAGTAGGGTTTTGTGAAAATGTTCATTTCTTTCCTGTTGTAGATAAATTTTTGGTCAACCKCAGTTTGRATGAAGAGTTTGATTATGCTGAAATGATGATCTAATGGCTCATCTAGGCAGAGCCTAGACCAAAGTGGACTACAGCTGCCTTTAAACACTTCCAATCTCATGGCTAATTGAAGAGTTAATCAAGCAGAAATATTATAATATTCTGGCAAGCAATGCTCCAGGTTGCACAAGRAGAGGTACAGCTAGCTGCTGTCGTGATTTGTGCTTATATAAAATTTTATATTGTGGGTATTTTAAATTACAGTTAAACAAATGACACAAAGACAAAATATGTTTTACGTGGYCATGCAATATTTACTTTTCTCTGATAGAAGTAACAAAGATACTTCTATTATTTAGTTAACTCTAATGAAAAACAAAACATAACATGCTCTACAGATGTTTTTTTCATTAGTTAACATTTTGACTCTAAGCAAAGTTCCTGTGGGACAGTGAGGCATTAACTAACTAAAACRTTAAGAATAACATAAGGATAGTTGTTGTTGTTTATAGCCCACTGAAGTACACAGCACAGCTGCTGCCTAACGATTAACAAGATAACTTTACATTTAGACTTTTATAATATTTTTAATTAAAAAAAGTTTACAACCTTCAAATTAACTTATATAAACAAACCACAACTAAACCTGTGCTGAATCTATATCAGCAAATAATACAAACCACATTTAATTTACCCCTTTAAAACATTAAAGTCAATAACATTGCGGAAGAAACAAGCATTAGCACTGTTAGCTGCTGTCTACACCCCATAGAAAAAAACGTTAGCAGAATGCTAATTTTTTCAAAACACTCAAGCAGTGAAAACATATTTTCTTGATATTTTACAACAAAGAAGTTAATTTACTTACATTTTTTTAGATGTTTGCTCAATGTTACGTCTGTTTTCACAAAGTCCTTCAGAACAATACAGTAGTAAATAATCTAGAGCCTCCTAGTAGATTGCAGGGAGTCATTTCAACATCTTGCCTCTACCAAAGAAGAATCACTTTTATCTTTTCACAGTTTATCTTTTTTAATAAAGCTTTTATCACTTTATTAAAATAATAAAGTGAGTAGTTACAAACTTTTATTTGGAAATGGAAAAAATAAATGAGTTATACAGTTTTAATTTTTCAAATTTGTGTTCATGTTCATCGCTGTGAAATTTTTGAGAATAGCTTTGTTTTCAGATGGTAGCATTCCAGTTTGGTCTTGGCCACCAACRAGCCTTTACATCCTCAGTCCAGTTCAAATTAAACTTTATTTAGACAAAACGAGATTGCTCGAAGAACAATCTACAACAGATAATAAATGTTCACSACCTTTCCACAGAACCCSACTTCAAAGCATTTAAACCATTGCTTTAATGTGCAATTCTTATGGAAACTGTAAAACCAGGGTTTTCTGTTGGAACTGTTTTATCCAGTCTGTACTCGGACCTCCCCACAGGTGTAATGTTTAACTGTCTGCATTTTGTAGTAACTCTTTTTCCTGTAAGTATCAGTTAGCAGCTCTATGCAGCTTGTTTTCTGCCACATTTCTGTTTTAAACTGACAGTAAGCGTTTTTAGGTGACATGTTTCAGTGTGTATACTGTCTACCTCATCATTATCAGCTGCTATCGAACAGTGATGATTTCACCTAGTTATCAACCAAAAACTCACATTACTGTTAGAGTTGTTACAAGCACTTGTAGTAAAAGAAATCCCTTATTCCGGTTCAAAGAACATGCTATGTGTTTACCTTATACTAAATAAAGTGATCTGTGGGTATTTCACTGCTAAACGAGGTCGGCGTGTTTTTCACAGGCCACAAAGTCGTCGGCTTTTCAGACCAATCACACGATGCCCGACTTCGTTCCCGCCGACGGGCCGTCCACGAGTTACGTAAGAGCCGAGCGGTGAGTCGGCTCGTCGCCTTCAGCTGCAGAGACGAGGGCGACTTCATGCCCGTCAGCACGCTTTACTCATGCAGCTGTGCAACGCCACGACGTTTGCAGAATGTCTCACACACACACACACACACACACACACACTCAGTTTGGTTTTGTTCCTGCTAAAGTCCAGTCCATGAGTTGGCTGACTGTTCTGCTGAAGTGGCCTTAATCTGTCTCTCTGTGCAGCCCCACAGTGTCTGCCTGTACCAGARCGGTCTGCTGGATTTGTTTTGCCTTCATGCTCCACGTCTTGGTGCAGTTTGTCTCATCGCTGGGCTCCACGGYCACTCGACTGTTTCGTTTCCAACTCAAACTGAAACATCTGATAAGCTGCTGCCTAAAAAAAAATCACTTTCTTAAACGAGCAATAATTAATTAATCAGGTCCTATAGATGCTTACCTGTGCTCGCCATCAGGGCTGTCATCTGGAGGGGAGTCTCAGAAAAGACGACACGCGTTTTTAGAAAGTCTGCAACGTGTTTTAGAGTCAAGGGGGACATTGAATGTTGTCATGGCAACTATTAAGTGATGGCCGTATATGTGTGTGTGTGTGTGTGAGCTTGATGGAGAAGGAAAGCAAAGCAAAGCTCGCTCAATCACTCATCCTAAAACGACACAGGAGAACCTCGCCGCTGCAGCACAAACCTGCCAGGCAACCACCACAATAATCCAGTTAGGCTTTTTTTCTTTCACATGGCTCATATGATGGATTAGAAACTACTTCCTGCAGCAGGAGGCTGAGACATTTTCTATTCTGAGCATCTGGGCAGGAGAGAGGCAGGCTGCACTCCCAGAGGAATTCACCTTTCACAGAGACAGGCTCCCGGCAGTTGCCACGGGGGACAGGGGAAATGTCAAGTTGTCTTTTTCTCCTCTTCTTTCATAACTCAAAGCACTGAAGAAGTCCTGTGTTTAATAAAAGGCAGGCTGTGTTTCTTCCCTTCTGAAAATCCTTTAATTGCTGCAGGAAAATGCTATCTTACTGGTCAGAGTTTGGTGTTTCTTAGAAAAAAAACCTGTCATTTCTACATTTGAAAAGCATCTAATTTAGTGAGCGCCTGCTGCTGCCCGACTTACCCACATTCCTCCTGTACAGAAGGTTGTCTCAGGAGTGGTTTGTATGCAGACACACACCTCGCAGCCAACGTGTGCTTCGATTCTTGAAAAGCCTTTTCCACTAAAAAGAGGACATGGAGTCTGAGACGATCAGCAGGTRCAGACTGGCCCGTTTTAAACAAACGACAGAAGTTATGTTTATCTGTTCCCGTCGAGCAGTAGATGACTGATTTCTGTCTGTTAAATATACGTCCACCAGGCTGGACAGAAATAATCTGCTTTCCAGGAACTCTGAAATCCCGCTGGTTAGTACATCACTTTTTTTCCCTCCTCTATCATTATGTACAAAAATCATGAGTAAAAATTTAAGCAAAGACCATTTCTTCACCAGCTGCAGTAGGACCACAAATTGTTGTTCTTAAGCTTCAGTTTTTGTGAATAAAATAAGCAGATGCTCATCCTGGTTTCTTCAAAATCTCAGCACAAGATTTTTTAAACAAATGTAAAATGGTTTCTTTGAACATCTGACATAAATTAATAGCGGTAAAAACTTTCCTGAAGAGAATGTACAGTACATGTTCTTTTCACAGCAGAAGATTGTAACTAGAAATACAGACCACAATAAAGTAAGTGGACTGAGCCAAATCCGTTTAAATTGTGAAATTGAATACTCTCTCTCTTGGACATACGTAAAACAAACCACAGACTCAAACTCTAAATAACATGTTTATGGTGTTAAAGAGAGGGGAAAATGGGAAAAACCGATAGACCTCAAACAGACATACTGTACAGAAACATTTCTGGTTACAAGAAAACCATTTCCGCAAAAAAAAAGGAACAATCTGTGCACGGTCATTATAGAACTACGTATATCCCAATTCTTTTTAATTGAAATTTTCCAAGAAAAATGAAGCAATCTTTTAGTAAACAAACCCACAGGAGAGGCTGATGACTCACTTCTTGGTCCCAACAGCTTTTGTCAGTGAAGCCACAAAGTTTGGCTTGAATTGAAGCAAAATATGGAATAATTTGATGTCATTTTACAAGAGTTTCAACTTAAATTTCTACAAAATGATTCACACTCAGTCAGATGACAAAATAAATACAGGTCTACACTTACAAGAAGCAAATTATTTTGGTGATAATCTCCAAATAAATGTAGTTATTTGTATTTTCTTTCATGAGGATTGTTCTGTTTGTATAAGACTAGAAGAAGGTGGTTTCTGCTCGTGTCTATATTAAACCAAAGAAGCCCGGAATCAATACTTTTTTTCTGATGAATTTTGTATTTGTAGCTTTCATCTGCAGCATATTTCAGGCCGTGCTGGATTGTCATTCAGAAACGAGGAATATTCCTTCAAGGCACAGCATGAACGTCGACAACAATCAGCGAGCATGATAAAAAAAAGTCCCCAGAATAACTTTAAAGCCTATAAACACTCAGTGAAAAACTTCTTTTTTTTTTGATTGTCCATTTATCCGACAACAAGACTGCACACATTAAAAACTGCTGGGTTTTATGAACTCGATTGCTGGATTAAAGCAAAGGTTTGAGTCGTGAACCTGTTTGAACTTTTACTTTARGATGTAAATAATAAAAGGTAAAACAGTTAATAAAAAATCTTTTAAGGAGATGTTTCATTTGGTTGGCTTTTCTTTACCTTAATTTGCACTATAGACAATGAGTTTGCACCAACAAACTTAGCACAAAAAGTAAGAAAATTTGTGTTTGTTAGATTATATTTTTGTTGTAACAACGCTTCTTGACAATAAATCTTATACCGTTGGAGAGCCTGTTCATTTCTCTTTTAAATGAAGCCAAAATTGTAAGGAACATGCAGTTGTGAGATGAGCAATAGAGCAGAGTATGTCTGTTGTGAGCATGAAACATTTGCCAAATCTCTGCTAATGTCAAACAGCTTGTTTTGCTGTGGCTATAGACTCTTGTTTTGAGCTTCTGGTTCCCCCAGGTGCTGCCATAAGGTACCTGATTATAGATGTATTGCTAAAAAGCATTGCTACAATGAAAAAAACAATCTACCAAACACAAATTTCCTTACTTTTGTACGTTTAGTTGGCACCAACTCAACCTGTAATTATCTAATAACACAGATTTTGGGTTGTTCTTTTTAAACTCAAAGTTTTTTAGTGGCTCTAATTCAACAAATTAGTAGCGTTAAACTTTTTTTTTTGGTAGAAAACTTAACCCGGTGTACTAAGTCAAACTGATAATCCAAACTTGAGTTAAACTACCCAGGGTTAGCTCAGTTCAGATTTAACCCAGCACTGGATTACAAATTAGACTGTTTTTAACCCAGCAGTTTTTAGTGTTCACAAAATTCACCAAATTCACCATGTCATGACCTTTTAGTGGAGTTGAACCATTACAGTATGTTTATATGCTATGTTTCTTCAAAACTGCAATTGCATGGACAAAAATGAAAAATGTGCTCTTATTTTGTTTACTTTGCCCTTCTACAGGAGTGGTATAGACCACCAAACTCTGACTTGGCACGTAAAAAAAACTGCTATTAAATCAAATAATTAGAAAATGCAATTGGATGTTTTTTTTAAGTTCAAAGTAAATATTTAACCCCAGGCCAACACACTTCATCAACAACACCAAGAATTACTGTAGCAAAAATAGCAACCTCAAATTGAAAGAAATTACAAGGAGCTTTTGGCTCAGAAAAGCTGCTTTATGCCTCGGCGGTGAGAATATTAGACAGTGCATCTCCAAGTTCCATTCGGCTCTCCGTCTGTCTGCGCTCTCGCTGCAGATGGCTTCACAACTCGCTGCCCTCACCCTCAGCCCCACGGAGGAAGCACATATCACCCATCGCTGGACCACTCTGTCAGTCTGCCGGGGCAAGCCTGCTTCACACCACCCACTCTGACGGGAACTTTCACCTCCGCTCATGTTTAGGAGGCACAGCATGTCTCTGTTTCCACCCCTCTAACTCGCAGATGAAGCCACAGTTAAAAACAGAATCTTGGAGCTTCTGTTTACCGAACTGGAATCTGTACATTAGTTGGATGGTGTTGAGATGGATGATGTTATCTTGAATTTTATGTTTCCAGCATTTGTATTCTCAGACTTCTTTCCTTGTCAGGTTCCTCATCTCTTCAGACAAACTCAGACAGCTACCTTAAAGTCTGAGCTCAGCCGTGAAAACGCAGCAGTGCAGGATTTAATAACCTGTGTTCCGCGGCTAAAGGACACGTGGAAATGAGTTTTAGAGGGGGGGTGGAATTGGGCGTCACTGGTAGCCGACGGGGCTGTCCATGAGCGGGCTGGAGACCAAAGGGTCTGCGGCGTCTTGGAGTTCGGTCTCACGAGTCTGGGTGTGTTCCTCCTCGGACTCTGCTCCCGCCACTGGGTCGTGACTTGAACTCTGGGAGCTCGCCATGGCGCCATACCCATGGTGAGCCGGGGAGGGCATTGGCGTTAAAGCCAGCTCTGGCTCCAGCAAAACAGACGCCACGAACAGCTGAAGGAAGCAGACCAGAACACAGGTTAGGATTTAGTGTAGGTTTTAGTGCATGTGAGAAGCTGTAGGATGTGAAAGGTGACTGTAGATGTCATGTAGAGGCCATGTTAAACTGAATATGTCTGTTTAAAATGAAGAGTTTTAATTTTTGATTTGAAAATGGAGATGGTGAGAGCGGCTGAAAGCTCACGCTCATAGTGGTCAGACAAGCTGGTGATTGGGTGGAGGAGGGTGACCTGACAGTGTAGGTGGGTGTGTTAATGTGGAGAAGTTATTGAGGGCTTTATAGGTGAGGAGAGGATTTTATAGGAAATGCAAGATTTGATGGGGAGCCAGTGAAGATGCTGCAGGACAGGTGTTATATTACTAGTGGAATGGGTTCTGGAAATGACGTAAGCAGCTGAGTTTTGGGACCAGCTGGATTTTATGGATGGATTTTGCAGGTAAACCAAAAAGAAGGGAGTTACAGTCCTTCTTTTTTCCCTGATTTGGGGGATGAGTCTGGTGGATCCTTCAGGTGGAGCCCTCCCTATCCCAAGATGCATATAAAAATCTGGTGATATAAAAATTTAAAGTTTAAATTGTGTTGTTAGGCTTTTGTCCTTTGCATAGACATGTTTTTACTATTATTCTTGTCAGAAATCATAGTAGTGATCTGATAGTTGCTGAGAGGCAACAGCTCTACCAACTGAGCCACTGTGCCACCTTGTTCATTTATAATATTAATATTTTGCAAATTTTGATCTATTTTCAAACTTAATTGCTTCTGTTTAGCGCTGTCGCATTTGCTAGGTGACAGGACATACGCCGGGGTAAGGGTGGGAATAAAGTTTAAGGCTAGATGATCCAAATTCATTGCCAGTTTCTTCCGGACTTCTGTCCAACAAAGGACCTGGCCCCCATAGACTGGGTAGGCCCTTCAAAGGACGCAGTCCCTGAATTTAGTTTTTATGTTAGGTGAAAGGGATGGATGGAGACCATAAATATTATGGAGGTGAAAGTAGGCGAGTGATGTTAAAGATATGTGATTGAAATGATAACGTGTTGTCTAGGATGACACCCCAGACTCTTAACCAAAGGGATGGGGAAACTGGGATGCTGTCAATAAGAGTGGAAAAGTTATTGGTTTTTGCAAGGGTTGATCTAGTGCAAATGAAAAGAGGCTCAATTTTGTCACTGTTTAGTTTGAAGTTGTTGCTGGTGAACTAGGATCTGATATAATAAAGACAGTCAGACAGTGAGGGGTAAGAGTGTTGGACAGATAGAGCTGGGTGTCATCTGCGTAACAGTGGAATTGGATATAATTTTTTCGAAAGATATTGCCAAGTGGAAAAAGGTAGATGATAAAATTCAGAGAACCAAGGATAGAACCTTGTGGGACACCAGAACAAAGAGAGGATGGATGGTATTTGAGAAACCCCCTTATCAGAAAGACTTGAAAATAGTTTTTTAAAAATTATTATTCATTAAAATGTGTAAAAAGTAGTACTGTACGTTGGAGGCGGTGGTGGATGTCGCCGTGCTCCTGTCTGCATCAGTGAAGGTTCCTGCGGTTGGCTGATCGGACATCTGAAACACATGAAAATTTGAGGGAAAATGTTGAACATATTGCACTAAATATTGGTTATTAATGCATATTTTGTGTGTGGTGGATGTGCAAGTTGGGGTGTGGAATGGGTGGTGGCAGACCTGGTAGCTTGTTGACCTCTCGGGTGTCTTCCTAAGGCACATGCAGAAAAGGTAACAGGCAACACAGGCGATAAGGGAGACTAATGTGAAGAGGGTGATGGGGTGGACTGGACCTGTGATGGGGCAGAAAAACACAAAAATGTGTCACCATATTCCAATAAAACACCGGCGGCTGAGGTAAAGAAACAGTAAAAAGTGAAGTACCTAATCTGAGCACAGAGAAGAAGAGCAGCCAGAACATGCAGAGGATCGGAGCCACGATGACCTGACTGACGGCTGCTCTATGGATTTTCTGGTTGAGTTTGGTGGGAACGTAGGCATAGTAGATGTTGTATCGATCGACCATGTGCTTCAAGATCACGTAAAGCAGACCTGGACAGACAAGTAAAAGATTGTGTTCTTGTAAAACTCATGACAGGGACTCATATGGTAAATCCCAGGTACCCAGGGTTGAGCCTAACAACGTTGAGTCAGGTCGTCTGGACGGGTTCTGCTTTGGTGAAACATTTTGTCTTTTATCTAAAAGACTTCAGTCTGAGGAGATGCAGGTAAACTCAGTCTTATTAGCAGTACCTTCACATAGTGGATCAACCAGTTAGCCACCATAACTGGTTGTTCACATGCAAGTGATTATTACCTCCGCCAAGGGTGAGGTAATGTTTTCGGTCGCGTATGTCTGTCTGTCCGTCTGTCTGTCATTCTGTCTGTGGACAACATTACTCAAAAAATTATGGATGGATTGTCATGACATTTTTATCACATGTGGGTACTGGCTCAGGTAACACACCTTTAATTTTTGGCGATGTTCTGGATCACGATGCGGATACAGGAATTTTTTTTCTTTTAACACTCTGACATCGGCAAAGCTGTGATGCTTTCACGGGGCGTGGGTTTCAAAGTGTCCAGCAGATGGCACTGTAGTATTGGTGTGCCCCTTTGTAACTCTATTACAGGATGGGGGAAATTGGTCTTGGCGGAGGTTTGCACTCTCCGAGTGCTTCTACTTTAGCATGCATCAGGACATCAAGAGATGAACCTGAGTTGTATCTACAAATAATAAACGACAGATACAGTCATCCATTTTCCATGAAATTACCCTGAAATCTTGTTCATAGGTTTATCTAAAGAAATAAGAACGTTTTTTTAAGAAACAGACTTCTAGTAAAGGGGTTAAAGTTGTTTTCCGACAAAAACTGGTTTATCCCTTGTGTTGATGTTGGCTGAAAGTGACTAAGAACAAGGACTGGATGAAAAATTACTGAAAAAGAAAAAAGAATTTTATGTCAGAAATCCAAAAACTCTAGCTTAAGACAGGTGTTCAACCCTGGTCCTTCAGATCCACAATCATCACACTGTATTTCAGTTCAATTCTGTAGAACTTGAAAAGGTAATTGAACCACTGAATCAGGTGTGTTGGAGCAGGAAAACAAGTAAAACAAGCAGGATAGTGGCCCTCGAGGACCAGGGTTGGACACCCCGGACTTAAGACAGCTTAAAAAAAATCTGCAAATGTGCCGGCCTCCAGGAATACGAAATATTAAAAAGAAATGTGACTCAGGATTTTTTACTGTCACTTTAAAGTTTCTTTTTTTAATGTAGTGCTGCCTACATGTCTAAGTACTGGTTCAGGCAGGGTCCTTTGTATACTAAAAACTACTGAAACATCTGAAATTCATGTAGAAGCACAATGTGTGTCTGTGGACGGATTTTTCCTACAATGTAGGGACAATTTCCCCACCAAAAAAAGCAGCCTTGTGGGGACCGAAGTGAATCGTGGGGACCAATGCCAGGTCCCCACGGGTACAAATGCAAATTACGGATGTGGGGTTAGGTTTAGGACCAAGGTTCAGGTTAGTTTTAGGGTCAGGTAGGTACCTGTGAGGTTAATTTTAGGGTAAGTGGTCAGGGTTAGCCTATAAAGTCTAAAAAAAAAGAATGGAAGTCAATGGAAGGTCCCCAAGGGGTTCAAGAACAAACGTGTGTGTGTGTGTGTGTG